AAAGCCAAAAAAGCACGTTTTTTTCTTTCTTTTCTAAGACCAATTCATCTTTGTAAGATTTCATGGAATCATAATGATTGGAATAAAACTCTAATGTCATTAAGTCCAACCATCAACCCAGCACCACCACCATGTTCACCATTAAACTGTGTCATCAAGTGCCATATCCACACTTYTTTCCACACTTGCAGGGATGGTGACTCCACCACTACCCTGGGTATCCTGTTTCAATGTTTAACAGACCCTTTTATGAAGCATTTTTAATGTCCAATCTAAACCTCTCCACACACAACTTRGGCACAACTTATGGGCATTTACTCTCATCCTGTCACTTCCTACCCTGYAGAACAGACTGAAACACACCTTGCTACAACCTCCTTTCAGGTAGTTGTAGAAGGCAAAAAGGTCCCACCTAAGCCTCCTTTTCTCCAGGCGAAAACCCCACAGCCCCTTCAGCCACTCCTTGTAAGATTGTGCTTATTTATGTAGGCTCTTAATTCTTTCCAGTTTATTCTGAARCTGCTTTTAGCATTAGACAAAAACAGCAACACACTAACTTGTTCAGAGAAAGAAGCACAGAGAAGAACACTTGYTTTTGGAAAACTACAGTGTTGTGCTTAGAAGTCAAGAAAACCACAACCAAAGAACCACTGCCATCTCTCTCGAGCAAAGACTGTAAAGGATTGTACCTCCTCTGGGTAGCTGGTCTGGGGTCTTAAACTGACCCATAGAAAAAACCTTCCAGCCTTCAGAGAAGGATAGTCTCTCTACATAAAACCATCTAATGCACRTAATTAAAAGCTGCTTGTCAAAGCCACAAATGAAATCAGTTTGTCTTCTCATTAGCAATTCCTTCCCTGCTCCACTGTGTTCCACTGATGCCACTGTCATAAATGGATGACCTAGTAGAATTTGCCATACCCATATTTCCTTTCACTAGATACAAATTTGTAACACCTTACAACATCAATGATGGCAATAAGGAAATAGTACTTACTGTAATCTCAGCTTTGCTTAGACAGATAGAGCCTCTGCAGCCATACTCTGTYTCATCTTCAGACTTGTAATAACTGAGTGTGTTGCTTTTCAGAACCACCCATCGATCCTGCCACCCATGAATGTAGTTGGTCCACTGTAAAAAACAATTCCAGAGATCAGCTAATGGAAAGATAACAATAAAAGAAGTATGATTGACATTTTCCAGGCTTTTGAACACCCAAAGAAAAAGGCAACTTATTTTTACAAATTCTTCCCAGCTGAGAAGCTCAGAGCTCCTAGAAGAATTTTGCGAATTCCTAAAGCTACAAAAACAAAGATGTTTCAAAGGGTCAAAAAGATGACAGATGTCTGGACACCTATGTATTGCCAAAGTGAGTTAAAATAAAGGAAATAAAGCCACTGATAATGCAAATTGAGAAAAGCAGGGGAGAGGAAAATAAAACATTAATGACTAAGGTGAGTTTAGGCACCTGACTTAAAATCTGAAGGTAGGCCAACAGACTTAAGTGGAACATAGGATAATTTATTTTATGTAAAATGTCATATAAAGTTCTCTTCATATAAACACTAACATGCCATTATTCCACAGTACAGTAAATATCTATTGTAGTGCCTAGAGGACTCAGTGCTTAATGAATTTAATATTGCCCATAGATAGTGCTTTACGTTTTAATTCTAACTACTTTCACTAAGAAGATACTTATCAGCAGACATCCAACCATGTTTTTGCTGTTCAGGTTTTTCCAGGGACTCCACATTCACCCACTGAATAAAATTGGCATTTCAGGAAGAATTCTGGATTAATGCTAGAAAGATATAGTATGAAGCTACCAAAAGTWCTGATTACTATTCTTGTATTTGAAACACCTTTCTCACTGCACTTTGCAGAATCATCTGACAGTGAGAGAAAATCAGGACTATCCTATAATTCTGACAATAYACTGGTACTTATTAATCAGTCATGATGCAAACATTATAAATTTGATAAAAATAGAAACAAAAGCATTGAAAACAATCTTATCCTGCAAGCATTTCTTTAATTATGATAAATGTTCTTGGATGAAAAGCTCTGGTCAACATTTGAGTCTAACCATTATTCATCATTCTGTAATAYAAAAAACAAGGAGGAAAAGTCAACTAACAGTCTTTTTTCCACATCATACTACATACATTAGTTAACACATATTCTATAATTATATGTTAACTTTAGTAGTAAGATGACAAGGTCTAAGGAAAAACATTATAGCTGAGAAATTCATAACAATTTTCAAATGTACGCAAGACCTTGATTTGCTCTCCAGATATAAAGCCCTTTTTCATCTCTTAATACATCTAATTGCTAAGTACAAAATTACTTAAAGAAACCCTCAAGTGTGCTTAGTGCACTAAGTGGTAGCATGGACGTACATTAAGTGGTCATAGAGGTGTATTATTCCCTGCCTTCCTCTTTTCCTAYTTCCCATGTTCCCAGCACCTCCCAAGATGTGAAAGGCAGAGACCAAAGTTATCTGGGGAAAAAAAAAAGAAGGGAAAGAACCTTCTTTGTCTGAAAATCTTAATAGAAACATATATAGCAGTGAATCTTGCATCTGCTGTTGCAATCGAAGTTTGTGTTGCAATCCCAACGCACCATGAATTAAGAGACTCCTTAAAACTATACTCAAGTAGGCACAAGGTCTTGGCAGAGAAAAGACGTGTGTTTTTCCAAGCATCTAGATTCTGATGGTTCCTGAAAAAAACTTTGTATCCACCTTAAAATCATTAGCAGGAAATACAATGGAAAAAAAGCCTAGAGTTTCACAACATTTCCAAAGACCAGCAGGATATACTTCTAACAAGTTTGTCTTAGCAAATTGTCCCATTTCTTTCTAAGCTTTTCTCTTTACTGAAGGGCAGAACTACTGAAACACTGCTAAGCACACGGTGAACTGCAGCCTACCTCTATGATTTTAGAACTTAACTATACACTGTAGGCTATTAAAAATAGTTATTTCCTTAGTAGAAAGTTCAGTATGCTACCATTTCATTTTAATTAGTTACCTCAATTATTACTGAGGTATCAAGTAACAAAAGGTAACCTTACCCCTCAAAGATATTCACTGCGACAGGTTTCGCCATACTTGACTATTCAGATTAAATTCCATGTTCTCACGGGAAAGACAGTCTCTGCTACACTCAGTGTAATCATCCAGAAAAGTAAAAAGTTTGCACGTACCTGAGCTAGAATGTCTCAAGCCATGGCTTCACCTGCTACACCACTGAGAAAGAGCACCTGGACTGTACTTAATTTGCTAACATAAAAATTAATTACATCCCACAAATTACTTCCCTTCTAAGGATGGAAGCATCTTACCCAAGGAAAACTCTGCTGTAAAAAAAGCAAACAAAACAGCAAAACTACGCCAAACAAAAATCTCATATTGTAAGTGCTCTAACACCATCTCTCATCTGCCTCATCGCCTTGTTTCCCCTTCCACCACTAGWTAAAATCTTAAAAATGAAAGCAGAGATCCTTCTTTTTCCCTARCCATTCCCCTTATCTCTAGGGTTAGAAGCATTTTCATGCTGGAACGGGTTCACAAAGTCTCTCACAACAGTGTGAGCTCAGTTATAGCCGTTTCTTGTAAATCCAGGGCAGTTTAAGATCTCTGTATCCCGTGCCTCATATGCTGGCTTGTGCCAGCCTTATCACGTAGGGCAGGAAAAAAAATTCAAAACATAGTGCTTTAATCCTACCGATATTTCAACGTTATTCTGAATATACTTTCTGTAACCAAAAATTAAAATATCACTATTCRAACTTAGTAATTTAATATTCAACTCCTAAGTGCTTCTGAAAATAAAATTTCCCAGTGTCAACCAACACATACTCGGAAGTCACCTTATTTTCATCGACAAAAAGACAGAAATAATTACGGTTATTTTTAAAAGGGGAAACAAGCCATAGAGCCATTTTCCTTTTCCACTCCTCCCGTTATTTCCTGCCGCAGGAGTGTTTTCCTGCCTCGATCATTGCCCTAAAAGCCGTGCCCGCTCCCGAGGAGCCACCGCTGGATACGGGTGCCTCCGGAGCTCCCGGGCAGCCACGACACCCAGGCCCGGCGCCGCTCCGGCCGGAGCCCGAGGCGCGGAGGAGACGCCCTCCCGGCGCGGCTGCCGGAGCTCCGCGGCGTGCAGCGACGGGCTCGGGGGGCGGCGGGGACCGCGGCTCTGCCCGGGCTGGGGGTGCCCCGGGCAAAGGGGGCGGCGGGGCTGAGGGAGGGGGCGCCCGGCGCTGCAGCGGCTCTGCCTGGCAGCCGCTCCGCCGTCAGGTGGCGGTGCCCCGGCCGTGCCAGCGCCGCCCGCGGAGCTGCCCGCCCCCCCGCCACCGGGCCCCTCGGCCCGAGCCCCCGGGGCGGTCGGGGCTGACAGCGAGAAGGGTGGGGGGCGGCAGGGCGCAGAAAAGGGATAGAAGCGGCTTACCTTGCTGAGCACCCCGCAGAGCTCAACAGGCACTCCGAGCTCGGTCTCAGGGTCCTCCTCGGAGCCGGAGGAATTCCAGCTCTGGTTGTCCGACATGGAGACCGGAGCCGCAGCCACTGCCGAGCTGGGAAAGAGCCGAAGCGGCCCCCGCCCACAGTAGCGTCCTCCTGCCGAAGGGACCGGAGCGCCGAGCTTCTCCCGAGCGGGTGCTACCACCGAGCGCCGCCCGCCCCTGACAGCCACTCGCCAGCCACCAAGCTCCCAGCCCCGGGCTCCCCTCGCCGCGGCCCCACAGACCCCGCCCGCGGCCAGAGCCACAACACCGGGGCGGTGAGTGGAGGAGGAGCGAGCGCGCGTCCGCCTGCCGGGCACTCGCTCAGCGCGTTCCCGCCGCCGCCATCTTAGGTGAGGCGGGCGYTCCGTGCCACCATTCATCAGCACCCCGCCGCTGCGGCGCCTTACGGGAATTGTAGTCCTGTCCCAAGCGGCCGTGAGCCGGGGCGCAATTGTGCCTCTCTCGTGCCGCAGGGCGTCCTGGGAAATGTAGTCCACTGCCCCGGCGGACGGCCGCCATCTTGTTCCATCTTTGGTGTGGAGGCTCGGGCGRGTCTCGCTTCAGTGCCCCCGAGTGAAGGGAACTCCGCTGCCAAAGGCGACGGTGCTACCCGGGCGATGTTTGCTTTTCTTTTGCGCGGAGGTATTTACTTTATCATTAGGGAGGCGAAGCGTCTCTCCGGATCTGTTTGCTTTCTAGCGGGAGGAGATGTAACCTCAAACCGGCGGGATTCGGGGTAAGCGGGGACAGTTGAGGGAGGTGAGCGCCAAACTCTTCTCTACTCAAAGATAGTGGAGGCGGCGGGAAGAGATGGGAGATGCTGCCGGCTCTGGGTGAAACGTGAGGGGAGGGTGGGCTGTCCGGATCCGTCCGGGATCTGCTTCCCCGRCGGTACCCAAAGGCGTGCATTGGGCAGAGCGGGCAGAGTGATGGGTCAGCGTCTGGCATCGTCTGCAAGGTACTAGAGATGTTCTGTTAYCCATTTGTTAAACTGCTTTGGTAGTTTAGGGAAGGAAAACGTGATTTCTTTTTTCAGACTTCATCTTAAATATGTCGATATTTGTGGGTGAACATAYATTTGTAGAAAGGAAAAGAAGAAAGCCCTGTTCAACCTGTCACTTCATGATTTGTGGACAGTTGATAAAGTGGTTTGGGAAAGACTAGGGTTTGTAACTCATCTTTCTCGTGATTTCTGGGGCGAGGGGAAGTGTCTTAAATAGTGTTGATTCAGGAAATTTCAGTGTTGGAAGATACACTTCTGATTATATGACAAAAGCAATGCTGCCCAATTCTATTTTCTCTGAAAGTCCTCCTTGTGATCAATYATTGTATAATTTTCACGTGTTAGGCTGTTTGAAAGTTTCCATTGAGGGTTTATTCTTTTTTTAAAGATCATTGACACAACCACTTATATGCGTTCTCTATATGTCGCAGCTTAAGATTAAAAATATTCCAGCCTGCTCAGAGTCTCAGAGATAAAGATGTTTACAATGAACGCAGAACTGAGGATGATTCAAAAGGCAGCATCATTGTCCTAAACTAGTAGAAATTAAGAATAGTCCCAGACATCTTCGTATTTGTGTAATCAGTGCAATGCACAGGGAAAACCTTTTATAGAATTCTACTGTGGGTGCTACTTGAGATAATTTTCCAATGTATAAACATAGCCAAAAACCGATTTTCTTTGATTCTACGTGTTTGGGAAGAAACCAAGAACAATTTTTTTCTCCTTAGGGTCAGTTTCAATATACTTTATTTGTCAAGCAAGCTTAAAACGTAATGAGATGTATGAGAATAATTTTTAGTTCTTCTGTGCAATATGTTGTTGAAGCTAAGTGGCATCACCTGTAAAGCCAGTTGTGTTTTCCCRGTTAAACTCTGAATGAACTTCTTTTCAGGAGAGGAGCAGGAGCTGAAGAAGAGACATGTCTGAACAAGTCCTTTTAGCAGTGGCAGTAGTGTGTACATAGACGTTCCCTGTCATGCTTTTGATCTGAAATTATTAACTTAGTTACAGGAGTAGCTTGCTTTCCCTCCCCCCTCTCCAGAACCAATCAAGTGTTATAAACTAAAAATGCCTTGGGTAGATATTTTTCCAGGTTGTTCAGCAAACGAATCCATCCTTTTTAGAGAGAGTGTTTGATTTGATTATTAATTCTGGCTAATATTTTACAATCTTGAAATGAAAAAATATTGGATGCTAAAAGGTTTGCCTTTTCAACTTTTCATATAATGCATTGTCTGCTAGGTAACAGATTTTTGTTTACATCTGTTTCATACTCTTAAGGTATCTTGTTTTTTAGCAGAGTGCCGCCAGCTATGTTCTTCCAAAAGTTGTATTGGGATCGTGAACCCCTTGTGTAAATTACCTATTCTTTCTAATCTTCTGACCATTAAAGAAAAATATGACATGATGTCTGTTAATGATACTAAGCCATGTCCATATCAGCAAGCATGGGGTGCTGTGGGAGTAGATTTGTAAAGGAAAGATKTGGTGCTGAGGACTTGGAGTTCTTACACATGTGTTGAGAAGTGTTTTCTTCAGAAGTGTTTTCTTCAGACTACAGTAGTTTGATYTCTTGGGGGGCACCTACATTAACAATGGTTGTTTAGCAGGTGTGCTCTGGGAGAGCAGTCTTCCAGTTATGTATAGTTTAAAAGCAATGTGGTTTGCCTGTGCCSAGACAAGTCTGAGATGCAAACCAAAGCATGGGAAATTGAGAAAATCAAGTTGGTGTCCTGATGCACTCACTTTTCTCTAGCTCCTTCTGTACCTTTTCTACTGAACCTTTATTTCGTGCTTCATTGCTTGTGCTTTCGCAGCAAGTGGCCCTGTACTCAGTCTCTACCCCTCCTAGTGTCTTAAGGATTGCAAGTTTACAAATTATTGTTTTAAGTGGAAATAGACATCACCTTTGTTAGAACAGAGGAAGAGATAGTTTTGTTCTGTATTGTTTATATACTACTTGTAATACAAAAATGGGGGCAGTTGAGTTTTAGGCATATTAATCATAATAAGCATTGTCAAGTAGGTAACTATAAATACCTTTATTTGTTTCTTCTCCCTTTTTGTATATTTTTTTTCCATGCCTTCCATTGTAGGGWGTTGGTTTTATATTTTTAAAACAGAGTCTCGATCACTTTCGGGTATGCTCATGCTTACCATTAAGTTTATTCTGAAATTTAAGACTTATTCTTAGGAGGATCCTCAAAGGACTTTATTATGCCCCAGCGTATTACCTAATAGTATAGGCTCAGAAGTATTAATGATTCAGACACTTTATTCTAGAACAATTTTGCTCTCTGTGAATCATGGTATTAGGGTTTTGTTTCTAAATAAAAAAAAAACCCAAACAACTGTATATGAATCTGATGGCACTAAACCCATCTGTAGAAGCCTGCTTATAGATAACTACACTACCTCGGGTGTAGTTCTTAGTTATGAATGTACAGTTCCCTCTTTTTTTAATGGATTAAATTGCTAAAGCCTGTGTTTTCAGTAATCAAGAAGAGCAAGGAAAACTTAAAAACTTGAGATAAATCTTTCAGTTGAAATGGTCCTGCAAATTACTGTACAGAGGCAGAACTAGATACCATGGTTCTTTGCCCTTCAAATAAAGTTAGATTTTCTAAAGACGGGAGGTTTTTTGACAGAGAAACTGAAAGTGGAATTCAGATCAGAATTGCATTGCGTCTTGCCTACAGAAAATTGATGGGGGTAAGTATTCATTTTATTTTACTTGTGTCGCTCTTCATATAAGCAAAGGATTATTCAGACAGTTTTGTGAATAGCATAAAATACATATTCTGACATTTATTTTTGAGCATTGTCAGAAGCAGCCTCTATTAACTCTTTACTTTCTGTGCAAGTTACTTGATTTTTAAAAGGGTGGATTTGTGTGTAATTTATTATACATTGTAGTCATTGAGTATACAAAAGACATAATTCTAAGGCCTTGTTTTTTTCGGGGCTAATTCTAGGTGCTTGTATGGGATCTGTTTTTTCATAAAATGCTGAGTCAGCTACTACTTGAAAAGTAGTCTCATTCATCTGTGTCGGGTTGAGCACTTGGAATTTTCACTTCCATTAATTCTGGCCCATTTTTTTGTTCAGTATTAATTTATCATGTGTTTTGGCTTATTACATTTGTAAATGTATTACATCTTTATTTGACAGGTTCTGTTTTCTATGGAACTTGTTAGTATTATGTTGAGAGAGAGAGTAGTGAAACAGTAGCAGTTTTGAATGCACTAGTAGAGAGTCTGTGTGACGATGTATTAAATGCTAACAGTACTGTTGCACAGTTCCTTCTGCGAGTTCTTTTCTTATAAATCACTACAGGACTAAAAATTACTGGAGTCCACTTCTCAGGGCTAWTCAGAAACCAGGTCTCTAGTAAAAATCAATCCCCCTGTGGCTAGAAGGAATTGAGCAGATAGTCTGATATGCTTCCTTGGGCATAGCTTTAGTGATGGTTTGCTTGCTAAGAAAGGCTTCAGAGCATCTGATACTTAAATCATTGTCAGAGGAGCATGTTTTCACAGGAAATGAGAGTTAAGAGTTTGCTAAATTTGATCCAGTCAGCCAGAATGTATCCTTGCCAAAAGAATGCTTACAAAAGACAGGTACATTTTTGTTTGAAAGTGTGCAATATGTTTATTTTATATACTTACATATTCTCTCAGGCACATGGTGTGATTTTTGGGGTTGTGCTATGCAAATGCAAGAGTTGGACTTCAATGTTCCTTGTGGATCCCTTCCAACTCAGGATATTCTATGAATAGTATAAAGTTACTGCTTTGGGATTAAGTCCTTATCCAAGTTATGGATAAATCAAGTAGTATGAAATAAAATCACTACTGCAGTTTTCATTGTGACCTTTGCAATATCAGAAATGTTGAAAATATTTTAGCAGGGTTGAATTATCCTAGTTTGTTGAATTTGTTTGTTGTTGCCTTAGATAYCCAAGARACAAAGTGATGCATTTGTGAGAAAYCTGTTGTTCAAAGGGCCTGACTATGGGTACATGGTTTTCTTTGCCAAGGTGGCTTAGATGGGTTTTAGTTATTTAACAATGCATATATTGCATGCCCAATGTGGATAAAGAYTCTTCTGTGCAGTGAGTGGAATAAGAAGTTAGCTAGATGGCTACCAGTTCAATCTAAATTAATAATTGGARTAAAACCAAGTGTTGTCCATTAAAATGTTAATTTAGATGAGTTCTGGTCTTATTGGGAAGGTGTAATTTATTTATTGCTTGTCATATTGTTTCAGTAATACCCGGAAGCTTTGTTTTGAGGTGGCTTCCAGTTGCAATAATTTCCAGTGCAAAGGAGACATTTAAAATGTTGGGAATGAGAGTTACTCTTGAATCAGTCTGCACAGAGTTACTCTTGAATCCTTTTGTTTTGCCTATCAGTCTTTAGTTCACTGTTCTTGGGATACTGGTCAATTCTTGGCAGAGAGTAATGAAGTTGATGAATTTTTCATTCTTACTTGCGAGGTACAGTCTTTGGTACAAATGAATTTTGTTTCTCTCACAGAGTATCCCTGTTCACTTACTGCAGAGGGTAACAGTTTTTTCCACATCTCTTGTCAAAACAGTTTTCCTTAGGGGTGTTTTGCTGTGTTTTGTTTAAATTTATTGTTTGTGTTGGCACTTTGTAGTGGGTTTGCCTCTTGGTTTTTAAGGACTTGATATCTTATACTTTTATTTAGTATGTGTATGATTTTCTATGTAGTGTCTTTGGTATATATT